TCTTCTCTTCCATCTCAGTTAGCTTCACCATTATGAATGTTCTAAATTCTTTATCAGACATTTCCATGATCTGCATTGAACTGCTTGTGGATGAAGAGGAGTTATTCTTTTGTCTTGGAGGAGAGGTATTTTCTTGCTTTCCCATATTTCTTGTGGTCCTGCGGTGATTTCCTGTCATCTGATGGATGGTGTGTTTCCTTTGAATTCTTGAAGTTCAATCAGAGTGTTCAGGAGTAAGCAGAAAGAGGTGATCGGGAACTTCTTTGTGGTTCTGTTGTGATCGCTGGTGCAGCAGATTCAGTAGATATTGAGGAATATGTTAACCCTAATAGTATTTCAATGTTTAGCTACAGTGCCCTTAGATCTATCTAGAAACACACTGAATGGATATTGAAGAGTGGAGAGAAAAGAAAAACGAAAACGAAAGAGTGAGAGAGAAACAATGACAAAGAAAGAGGAAAAAAAGACAAAAAAGGAAAAACAAAGAAAATTGTAATTATTGTTCTCCTTAAAAAACAACAACAACAAAAAAGATTTAAAAACCCAAAAATGGAAAACCCATGAGAGGAGAGAAGCAGAGAGAGACAAAGGCAGAGGCACAGAGACAGATAGAAGGCCAGAGGGGCTCCCTACCATACTAGCTTTGTTTGTTGGAGGCTGAATTATCGGTAGAAAATCTTCATTTTTCCTGTCCCCTGCAATGACTAGTTACCAGGAGCCATGACGAATCTTGTTCTGAGCAATAATAATCTTATTAAAATTTCTGGCACACTTCTATTTCCTACGAATGACTTTTAATCTTTTCAATATTCATTTAACTGCTTAACAAATTTTGCCATCAACTCTGAAGACTTTTTTAAATTATTAAGATGCAGTATGCTGGGCCAAAAGTGGCTTGATGGTACTAGATCCGACAGGGCCAGTGCCAAAGGTCTGAGTCCCAGGTGTGGCCATCTTGAAAATCACGCTGGGGGCCCAGCAGATGGCATAATGGTTATGTCGCTGGACTACCATGTAGTTGACCATGCTTTTGAGTCCCAGATCCAGTGGCTTTTAACTCATGCCAGGCATGTGTGTGTACCCATGATCCCAAGAGAAGAATGGAGAAGAGACTGTGGCATGGCCATCTTCCCTGGGGGTAACATCTCACTTTCAGTCTCTGTTTCTCCAGTGAGTGCACACATCCTACAGCAAAAATCTCTCTCTCTAAAAAAAAGGAAAGAAAACCATGCAGGGTATGTGTGCATAAATGTCCAAATTCCTAGAGAATACAGTGTGGCCATCCCCCCTGCGGGTGATTTCTCACTTTCCCCCCTCTCTCTTTCTCTCTGGCAAGCCCATGTACTCAATGGAAAAAATCTAAAAAATATTAAAAAGAATGCAGTGTGCTATCCGATTATTTTTAGAATGCTGAAATTCTAGAATCCTCTCTTGGTAAGGTAAGGCATAAAAAAGGTGAGAGAGCTGGAAAGAAAATATTGTAGAGCCTCAAACTCAATTCCCATTTTTCAATCATAAAAGAGAAACTATGGGGATAAAAATGTGGAATATCTTTATTACCACCTTTCCTGGATATCTACTTCCTCAGGCTCTACTATTCAAAAACCCAGTAAGTTGATAAAATGAGTTTCTTAAGTAGAAATTCTTATGAGTTTCCTAAGTAGAAACTCTTTTATTGTTAATTTTGCTTTAAATTGGTTTGCCTTTATCATTTATTTTATAATGTCATATTAGCTTCTTTAGATTAGATCAAATATCTGTAAAGTGCCCTATGTCTCTTGAAATTTAAGTTTATGGGCTGAGTATCTCTAAAATTCATCCAACTGCATTTCAATGTAAAAAGTCTTTTTAGGATTTTATGATACATATTAAGGAGACATTAAAGGTACAACCATACGAAGGCAGAATATCACTAAAAAATTTAACTTCACCAAGCTTTCTAAGAAAATTAAGAAAAGCAAATAATGATTACATCATAAAAGCACAAAAGAATTTGAGCTTAGGATATAATACTACTATATAATCACAATGGTAGAGGTCAATCAATTTCATGCCACTGGAATTCATCTGATCCTCAGCATCCACTATTCTGAGTATCCTACTTACCGTTTCAGATGTCCTAAGAGGAGGTGCCCATTATCGAATTCCTTATTACAATGCATTATGGGACATGAAATTGGTCTCCCAGATACCCGCATTTGGCCTCCTCTTCGGAATGAACTTTTCGTTCCAGAATTAATTGTGCCAGATTTGAGTCCTGCATCATTGGAATACAGATTCTTAAGTTTCTATTTTAGATATCTGCCCTTTGAATTGGTAATCAAAATATGACCCAAAAAAAGAAAAATTTTTTATCACACCAACAGGGTGGTTGTAATTACAATGAAGTGTTTACAATCTTTCTCATGAAAGATACAGTAACCTATAAAGTTACATGAGACCAAAAAAAAAAAAAAAAAAAAAAAACCCTTAGTTATCTCCAAGTAGCATTATCTTCAGGAATAAAGTCCATAAGGACATGAGTAAATAATTCCTATGTTCCTACTCAACCTACCCAGGGAAACAGATAAAGAGATGCTCGAAAATTCAATTTACAAGGGCCAGCAGATAGCGTAGCAGTTGTATCACTAAACTCCCACATGGTCGACCGTGGTCCGAGTACCAGACCCAATGGCTTCACAATCAAGCAGGGCACGTGAGCACGAATGCCCAAGATCTAAGGAAGAGAATGGAGAAGTGATTGTGGAATAACCATCCCCTCTGTGTGGTGATTTCTCCCTTTCCTTCTCTCTGATGAGGACACATGCCCTAAGGCAAAAACCTTTTAAAAATTTCAATTTACAATGTATTAACTATTCCGACAACCTAAAGGCCAGGCATCAGGACTCAGGAAGTATGTAACTGGCCCAACAATCATTCTATACTGTTAAGAGTCACATGAGATTTCTTTTTTTTTTTTTTTAATTTTTCTTTAGAGATTTTTGCTATAGGGCACGTGTGCTAGCCAGAGAGACAGAAAGTAACAAATCACCTCCTGGGGGTGGGAGGCTGGCCACATCACAATCTCTTCTCCTCCATTCTCCTCTTGGGATTTTGGGAATGCACACACACATGGCTGGCATGAGTTTTAAGCCGCTGGGTCTGGGACTCAAACTGTGGTTGCCTACATGGGAGTCCAGCGACATAACCATTATGCCATCTGCTGGTCCTGAGATTTCTAAAAGAGATCCTAAAGATCATGAAGCCTTGTAGTTCTACCCTGTTTTCCTATCTACCTAGAGAATTTCCCAAAACTATATACAGATGCCTTCTCTGGAGATAATGAGGGCCAGGTATATGTTTAAAACATCCCAGATGATTCTGATGCAGCTAAAATTAAACCACTGAATTAGTCACTAACTTTATCCACTGAGTTCTAAATGCACATCAAGAGGGCTTTCTTTTTTAAACTGTAAGTTTTAGAAGACTATCCTAAGAGGCAATACCATTTACCATATATATTTTTTTCAAGATTTATTTTATTGAACTTTATTTTCCAGTTTGATCAGAGAGAGACAGTGAGAGAGAGAGCGGGAAAATAAGAAAGCAAGCCACCACATCCAGGACTCAAACTGTGGTCGGCCATGTGGGAGTCCAGCACCCTTAACCACCGTGCCTCCTGCCTGCCCTATTTACCATATTTTCTAAAGATAGTATCTTTTGCCAAAGAAGGTCTGTAAGTAGCTGTCAGATTCTGAAACTATGTTCTAGGCTTCCTTTCATGTTGATTATCCAAATATTTATATCTCACCTAAATATTATATTCAAATAATATTTATTGACCACCTCTATGCTGGATATTCTAGCAGATGGTGTAATGGTTACATTGCTGGATTCCCACGGCAGTAAAACATGACGTTCTACAATGGTGACCCACATGGGAAAGTTCCAGGTTAGTGTCTGGAGATCCCCATGAGTATGCCCAACAAGTGTCTGCCCAAAATCCAGGGCTGGCTGAATCTGATGATGGATGGTGGCATCAATACTCTGTTGGGGGTGTGAACTCTTTCTCTCTTACTCATTGAGGTAATAAACATAAAGGAAAAAAAATTTACATAGGCTGCACTGATAAATAAGTAAACACTAACCCACTAAATCTCAGTTTAAATTCCATTTTCTTAGGACCAGTCCGACAGCCTGATGATTAAGGAAGATGGATCCCATATGGCTGACTGCAGTTCAAATTTCGCTCCCAAAGGCTTGAGAAATATGCCAGGTGTGTGACCATGTGAGTCCAAAATTCTGACAGTGTAAAAAGTAAAGGGAAAGGGAACCAGCGGTTAGCGTAATGGCTATGTCGCTGGATTCCCACGTAGTCGACCGCGGTTCGTGTCCCAGACCCGGTGGCTTAAAACTCACGCCGGGCGCGTGTGCGTGCGTGCCCAAGATCCCGAGAGGAGAATGGAGGAGAAGGGATTGTGGCGTGACTATCCCCCCTGGGGGGTGATTTCTCGCTTTCTGTCTCTATGTCTCTCTCTGTCTGTCTGGCGAACGTACGCGCCCTACAGTGAAAATCTCTCTCAAAAAAAAAAAAAAAAAAAAAAAAAGAAAAGGGAAGAAAAAGGGAAAAAAAAAAAGTAAAGGGAAAGAAACTGGGGCATAACCATACCTCATTTGGGGATGCTTTCTCTCTCCCTCTCTCTGTCCTTATGTATCAAGTGGGCACACATGCCCTTTGGCAATAAAAAGCAAAGAAAGGGACCAGTAGGTGGTGTAATGGTTACGTCACTAGACTCCAACATAGTCGATGGTAGTTCAAGTACTAGACTGGGCAGCTTTAAAAATATTCACGCAGGAAGCATGTGCAGGCATGCCCAAAATCCCAAGAGAAGAATGGCAGAAAAGGGATTCTGGTATGGCCATCCCCTGGAGTGATCTCCCACTTTTTGTCTCTCTGTCAAGTGCATATGCGTGATAGCAAAAATCTCTCGAAAAAAAATTTTTAATAAATAAATAAATTCCACTTCCTCAGAGAAGGCTTTTAAAAAAAATAAAAAATACATAAATTCCACTTCCTTAGAGAAGGTTTTCTGGATCTTAAGCATCCTATTATTCACCTTTCCCATAGACATATGTACTACTTCATGTAAATAACTATTAAATATACAAATGAATACATGAGCAAGACCTAGTGAGCTCAAGATGATCTTTCCTGCTTGTACTCAAAACATATGCCAAAGAAAGAAAACATTTGGCAAAGTAGGCTAATATAAAGTAGGCTATCATGAATATCTTATATGCTTATCAGCAACAGAATCAAAACAAACTTTCTGCCTTAAGGCATTAGGGTAGCTTGGTAACTTTAGAGTAATCTTTAAAAAATACCTGGCATTTTTAGCCACTGGTCCACACACAGTCTTGCTGCTTCTGTATCTGAATGTCCTCGAATAAATTCCAGTTCTTGTAATCCATGAGCATGATGAAAATCAACTTTTTCCTAAAGATATTAAACAAGAAACCTCAATTAACTTATGATTACTGCCCAAGATTCCTTGGGGAAAAAAATTATACATCCGTTATCAGAACACATTGATTATTTTTTATCCCTAGAATTTCAGAATGTCTAGAAATCTATGCTATGGAAATGCATGAAAATAAAGTTCATGCTCTATGATATTGATACCAATATTATTTCTACAGTTTGTTATAACCTATATCTCTAACAACATTTGATAAGTCATTAGAAGCACAACCAAAATTTTTCAATGTGAGAATATCCGGTTTTTTTTTGTTGTTGTTGTTGTTATTTGAGAGAGATTTTTGCTATAAGGTGCATATGTTCACCAGAGATAGAGGCAGAGACACCAAAAGCCAAGAAATCACTCCCCAGAGGGGATGGCCACACTGCAATCTCTTCTCCTCTCGGTCTTTACACACACACAGACACACCTGGCATGAGTTTTAAATTGCTGTGTCGGGGACTTGAACTGTGGTTGTCTATGTGGAAATCCAGTGACATAACCATTATGCCATCTACTGGTCCCATGAGAATACACTTTTAATAAAAAGTTAAGACATGACATTGAATTAAATAAATTAGGCAAAATATAAACATAGAATTTTATTCTATAGAGGGAATAAATATACTAAATGTTAGTGGCTATATCTGAGAATGAAAATGTAAAGTATTTCCATTCTCCAAACTTTTATACATTTTTTTCAGATTTTTCTATCGTCTGAAAGATATAGATATCTAAGAAATATCTGTTCTGCTAGTAATATTAATGACACTAATTAGCACTTAATATATGCCAGCATATAATTTGTTGCCATCTAGAATAAATAGGCAAACTTTTCCAATAAAAGACCAAATAGTAAATATTTCAGGCTTTGAAGGCATTCAGTGTCTCTCTCTCTTTCTCTCACTCTCTCTCTCTCATACATACACACATACACACACACATAAAGGCTACATAAATATAGCAATTTCTTTGTAATAACTAATGAAACAAGGAATCTAAAACATGGATGTTGAAACTATTAAACTTGGGACCAGCAGTTGGTGTAAAGGCTGTGTCACTGGACTCCCAGTTCGAGTCCTGGACCTGGTGGCTTAAACTCACGCTGGGGCCGTGTGTGTGTGTGTGTGTGTG